CTTTTATTTATTACAACACAGCTTTTTACTAAAAATATTTATTGGTAATAACGTTTCTTTTTTATGTCTTTTAGATGTTAAGTACTTCGATGTATTTATAAAATACAATAAATACAATAAATAAGTTAAAATTTCTAAAACATAAATAAAATATATGAAGTAATATAAAAATTAATTAAAGCTATATTTTCAGTCTACCAGTCTAGCATCCGACAAACAGCCCAAGCTAGCTCATAATTTGTGCACCACATAGACAACATATTGTGTATGTACTCAAAAAAGATATAAGTTTCTGTATATATAAAAAAGCTACAGTTTCATTTTTATAGCCCTATTTAGGTTTTGTAATATATTTTAGTACTTTTATTTTCTTATATAAGAAAATAAAAGTATATATATAAGAAAAAAAATATATATATAAACAATATTTAAATGAATTTATATATATATATATATATATAAATTAATCAAATATTATAGAACATAATATAGCAGATTGTTTTTGGAAATAAAACTGGAAAATATATAACTATTAAATAAAAATCTTGCCTTGGCACCCAACTGAAATAAATGTTTATGAAGAGCCAGTATTTTTAAAGTAAAAAAAAATAAGAAAAATGTATATTATATATATATATATATATATATAAACTATATATAGCTATAATTTATTTCTTGTTCTCTCAGAGATTCCCCGGGACTGTCATGATCTGTGGCACAGCTCTGGCGGTCAGGTTCGGGACGGGCTGTATCTGATCCGACCCGGTGACTCGCCGATCGCGGTGTTCTGTGCCATGAGCGAGGGCGGGTGGACGGTGGTCCAGCACATCACGGTCAACAGCAGCGTGGACTTCGACAGAACCTGGGCCGAGTACAAGCGCGGCTTCGGGTCGCTCACGGGAAACCACTGGCTGGGCAACGAGCACCTGCACCGGCTCACCGGCGGACCCGTGCGCTACAAGCTCGCCGTCAAGCTAGTGGACCAGGACGCCATGACCAAGACCGGCGAGTACGACCCGGTTCTGGTGGAGGACGAGGACGCTCAGTACCGCCTGCGTTTGGGTCCGTTTCAGGGCACGGCGGCGGACGCTCTCACGCTCGACACCGAGAACTATCTTCACGATAACCAGCGCTTCACCACCCGAGACCGGGACAACGACAACTACTTCCAGAACTGCGCTAAGCTGGAGTTCCAGGGCGTCGCGGGCGGAGGGTGGTGGTACGACGCGTGCGCCGGCGCGAACCTCAACCGCAGGAACGTCATCTACTGGCAGAAGGACTGTAATAAAGAGCACTTGTGCAAATACGCCTGGATGATGGTGAGGCCTTCAGACCAGGTCAAGGTGGTTCGCTCCGGAGACTGTGCCAGAGACGAGCTCTGAGCGGCTCAACATCCTTCAAGATCAGCAGGGCACGCTTTATCTGAATGTGTCATTGCTACGATGTTATTATACATTTAAGAACTGAGGAATAATAATTGACAACATGTACTTACTACAGGGTTTGGGTAAGATTAGGATTTGGTTGAGGGTTAGTTGCATGTAATTATGCACAATTTACTGTTATTACTACGGTAAGTATGTAACATATGTAACAAGGACACTGTGAAATAAAGTGTTACTGTTGAATTTAGTGATGTTTTTAATTAAAGTCCCCCTGTGGTGTAAATCCAGCGTTTAATGTTGTTTATGTGTGTGTGTGGTGTGTTTAATCTGCTTTAACACACACTGTGTGTGCGTTGATAAGTGGACAGCATTGCTGAGTATTTCCTCCTTAAAACTGCAGTGAATCAAAGCAGTCTCAAAAAACACGCGACGTCACAAACCACCTTGTAACCAATCAGATCAACGTGTGATCGTCAACCAGTGAGTCGAGGCGGGGCTCATTTGCATATTCATAGAACCGCGCATTCTAAATGAGGCGAGTGTCGGGTTACATTCAAGATATTTTAAGGCATGAAGAATATTTTAAAAGGAAATAACGTTTAAATTTGTCATTTTGCTGATCAAAGATGAGTTTTAAGGGATAGAATTATTGACTACAGGGGGACAATTTTTGTTTGCGAATTAGAAAATAAAAATAATCTGAATCAAAAGATTATTCTTTTCTGAAAAAAAAATCTTGTCATTTTGCTTCTAAAGGAGAAAACTGAGTTGGAAAACAAGATTTTTTTTTTGTGCATTGTTGAATTATTAACCCATTCAACACATGATGATCAATTATCTATTTCTTTTTTATTCAATAAACATTTAAACGTCAGATTTCTTGTACTGAAGTGCAAAAAGTTTCATAAAACAGATCACACACACACACACGATCACTGGGAATCAACAGACCGGACACATACTGCAGATTATACACTCTAAAAAATGCTGGGTTGTTTTAACCCAATTTTGGGTCAAATATGGACAAACCTGAAATGTTGGGTTAAAATGTAATGTAAAAATTTAACCCAACGGCTGGGTTAGTCCATATTTGACCCAAAGTTAGGTTAAAACAACCCAGCATTTTTTAGAGTGTAGTCTTGTTTTCCAGCATTCTTAAATCAAGATGCATTTACTGGATAAGATCGGAAGTCTTGTTTCTGAAAAATGTATTAAAATGTAGTGAATTTGTGCTTAAAACAAGAACAAATATCTGCCAATGAAGAAGAAACATCTTAATTCAAAGGGAAAACAAGATTATTTCTTGTTTTAAACACAAACTCACTTCTCTTCTGATCTTCAGTCATTTCGCTTCTCCAGTAGATCTTGATTTCAGAATCTTTAGATATTTGTGCAGGAAGACGAGACAGAAACACTGAGGCTTTGTGAACACTAATGAAGACAGAAACACTAATGAAGCCGATGAAAATAAAAGTCCTGACATGTTTGTTCACCCTCATCGAGTTGTTTACGGCACATTTAAACCAATCCTCGTTCGTTTCCTGAAACTCGGACATCTTCATCAACACGACAGCGGGAAACATCCAGATCCAGGAGAAATGAAGCTGTTTCTGTCGTTCTTATAATGGTACAGTAAGGCATTTAAAGAGGGTACAATCAACATCAAGCCAGTGAAATGTACAACATTAGCCCTTAAAACATGGATAAAATCATCACTGAGCTAAAACATGACGGTGTGTTTGTTCTGCACTCGTGAAACTGGATCTCCATCATCCCTCATATTTGATAATAGTAGGAGGTTTACTGTATTTCCATTAAGGATCACATCATCCGAAGATTACACACATCTGCTTTACAGATGAACTCAAGAGTTAGGACAGAGTTAAAAGAAAAGTTCACACTAAAATACTTGTCGAGTTGCATTTTCCCAAAACTTCAATGCCTATAATGCACTTTTGCACAGAAATGCAGACGTTCGATTCCTGGAGCTTTAATTCATCCTTTATGCTGAGAAATACAGTGAGAGATCAGGTTCAGGTAAGATCATTTACATCACATCCTTCACAGACACTATAACGACACAAAACTGGTTAAAACCTGAAAACCAGTTTTGCTAATCTTTCTGAAAGAGTCTCGTCTGCTCCCTAAAGCTGCATTTGTTTGATACAGTAAAAATACAGTAAAAGAGTGAAATATCATTAGAATGTAAAACAATGTAAAATTATTTCTGAAGGATCATGTGACACTGAAGACTGGAGTAATGATCCTGAAAATTCACATATAGATTACACTTTACTATATATTCACATTCCCGTTCGGTCAGTCACGGTCTACGACGTCACGTCTGACGAACGGGGTCTCGCCCGGGAGCCCAATCACCTTCGAGATGTAAAAAAACGAACCAATTCAAAACCATCATGTTGAACAGCACACATCTGAAGTGTCTCTGCTGAAGGAAATAATACATTATTAGCCAAATTTATAGCCAAATTTCATTAAAAAAGAACAGATATCAGCAGATACTGATATGGTCGCCAATATATCATGTTCCCTAATAATTTTTACTGTATTTTTTAACAAATAAATGCAGCCTCGGTGAGCAGAAGAGAATCCTTTCAGGAACATTATAAATCAAAACTTTTCAGTTGACAGTGAAACTGGTTTCTGTCCTGTGATAGTATTTTAAAGTCAGTTGTCTGATGAATCTGGGGCGTCTCAGGCGAGTCTGCCGAAGGTCTCAGGCGAGTCTCAGGTGAGTTTTAGGACAGTCTTCTGAAGGTCTCAGGCAACTCTCAGGCGAGTCTGCCGAAGGTCTCAGGCGAGTCTCAGGCGAGTCTGCTGAAGGTCTCAGGCGAGTCTACCGAAGGTCTCAGGCGAGTCTACCGAAGGTCTCAGGCGAGTCTCAGGTGAGTCTCAGGTGAATCTGCCTAAGGTCTCAGGTGAGTCTCAGGCGAGTCTGCCGAAGGTCTCAGGCGAGTCTCAGGCGAGTCTGCTAAAGGTCTCAGGCGAGTCTACCGAAGGTCTCAGGCGAGTCTCAGGCGAGTCTACCGAAGGTCTCAGGCGAGTCTCAGGCGAGTCTGCCGAAAGTCTCAGGCGAGTCTCAGGTGAGTCTCAGGTGAATCTGCCGAAGGTCTCAGGTGAGTCTCAGGCGAGTCTGCCGAAGGTCTCAGGCAACTCTCAGGCGAGTCTGCTGAAGGTCTCAGGCGTGTCTCAGGCGAGTCTGCTGAAGGTCTCAGGCGAGTCTCAGGCAAGTCTGCCGAAGGTCTGAGGAGAGTCTCAGGTGAGTCTTAGGACAATCTTCTGAAGGTCTCAGGTGACTCTCAGGCGAGTCTGCTGAAGGTCTCAGGCGAGTCTCAGGCGAGTCTGCCGAAGGTCTCAGGCAAGTCTCAGGTGAGTCTTAGGACAGTCTTCTGAAGGTCTCAGGCATGTCTCAGGTGAGTCTGCCGAATGTCTCAGGCGAGTCTCAGGTGAGTCTTAGGACAGTCTGCTGAAGGTCTCAGGCGAGTCTCAGGCGAGTCTGCCGAAGGTCTCAGGTGAGTCTCAGGCGAGTCTGCCGAAGGTCTCAGGTGAGTCTCAGGCGAGTCTGCTGAAGGTCTCAGGCGAGTCTCAGGCGAGTCTGCCGAAGGTCTCAGGCAAGTCTCAGGTGAGTCTTAGGACAGTCTTCTGAAGGTCTCAGGCATGTCTCAGGTGAGTCTGCCGAAGGTCTCAGGCGAGTCTCAGGTGAGTCTTAGGACAGTCTTCTGAAGGTCTCAGGCGACTCTCAGGCGAGTCTGCCGAAGGTCTCAGGCGAGTCTCAGCTGAGTCTTAGGACAGTCTTCTGAAGGTCTCAGCCGACTCTCAGGCGAGTCTGCCGAAGGTCTCAGCCGACTCTCAGGTGAGTCTCAGCCGAGTTTGCTGAAGGTCTCAGGCGAGTCTCAGGTGAGTCTTAGGACAGTCTTCTGAAGGTCTCAGGCGACTCTCAGGCGAGTCTGCCGAAGGTCTCAGGCGAGTCTCAGCTGAGTCTTAGGACAGTCTTCTGAAGGTCTCAGGCGACTCTCAGGCGAGTCTGCCGAAGGTCTCAGGCGAGTCTCAGCTGAGTCTTAGGACAGTCTTCTGAAGGTCTCAGCCGACTCTCAGGCGAGTCTGCCGAAGGTCTCAGCCGACTCTCAGGTGAGTCTCAGCCGAGTTTGCTGAAGGTCTCAGGCGTGTCTCAGGTGAGTCTCAGGCGAGTCTGCCGAAGGTCTCAGGCGTGTCTCAGTTGAGTCTCAGGCGAGTCTGCCGCCCGCCACCGGGTTCTGGCCGCACCAGTACAGCTTCTCCTCCTCACGCTTCTTCCTCCACTGGCACAGAAGCAACATGCGGAAGGTCTTCTGGAAGGTTTTGTTGCAGAGTGCGTAACACATGGGGTTGACGGTGCTGTTGACGTAACACAGCCAGTATCCCAGATGCCAGAGCGAGAGCGGGATGCAGTCGGAGCAGAAGGTGGACACCAGAACCATGATGTTATACGGCGTCCAGGTAAGGATGAAGGCCAGCAAGATGGCGCTCAGAGTCTGTGCCGCCTTCTTCTCTTTGATCAGCACCATCCTCTTCCTCTTGGTGATCTGGCTTTTAAGTGTGGCGTCGATGGGTTTGGAGGAAGACGAGGAGGAAGGTGCGTTCACGGATTCGGCGGATGAGAAAGACGAGGGTTTCGCGTCTCCGTTGGTGTTCTTTAGTGGAACGGTCGGTTTGAACTTGTAGGAGACGCACTTCTTGCTCCGCGAACCCTAGTGAAAAAAAGTATACTTTATTGTATTTGAAATATATTCCTTTTTTTCAATAGAACATTGCAAATATACTTACAAAAATGTGAACTATTTTTAAATATATTAATAGTATATTAGCGTCATGCTTTTACCTACTATTTTCACAATGCAACATTTAAAGTGAAAAGCCTATTTATTTTTTAAAAGTGTATTTATTTGCACTTTATTAAAATATATTTTAGGTATATTTCAACTGTGTGCTGAAAATGTTATAGTATACAATAGTACAGTCTACAAAGTATAGCTAACAATTATTTGTTTATTAAGGTGCATTTTTTATTGAAGACAAATTTTGTAGTATTTGGAATTGGCCAAAGTTATTACTGAGCATATACTGTACTTTTTACTCAAATATAATACACTTATCGTATATTGCTTGTATGTTTCAAAGACACTCGCAATGAATTTGTAATGTACTTGTAACTTTAATAAAGTACACTTTAATATCAATAATCAAGCATGTAATTAGTCCCAACACAGGCATGTACTTAAAGTATACTTTGTACCGATTTAGCACACTAAATACACACATAAGTTATTAAAATTTAATTACAACTAAAATATACATAGTGCAAAATGAGTTGTTCTAAAATAGTACATTTCAAGATAAAGGTGCAGTGTGTAATTTCAGCGGCATCTAGTGGTGAGGTTGTGAACTGCACCCAGCAGAAGTTACAGTGGCCGACAGGAAGTGATGTCGTCATCTGAGACTGCACCTTTAACACACTTGAAGTGTACTGAATTAGTCTAGCTGCAAGTATACTTAGCGTATTTTTCTTCACCAGGGTAGGACTCGTTCTGAAGTAGTTCTGCTCGTCGGCTTTGCGTTTGGACGCCTGGAAGACGCCGGGAGACGTGGATCGCTCCTCTTCCTCGGAGGAGGCGTAGCTGTTGAACTCGGCCGCTTTAGGAGTGGAGTTTTGTGTGCTTTCGCTCGTATGCTTGCAGCCGCAACACGAGCGAACGGTTTGAGTCTCGCCACTGGAGTTCGGCGAAGAGTTTACGCCTTGAAGCTCGGCGAGATCTTTAGTGCGTCTCTCGGTTTCCTTATATATCCGACAGTAAAGGATAGTCATGACGGAGACAGGGAAATAAAAAGCGGCTATCGCCGTCCCGAAAGTAATCACAGGCTCGGAGAAGAACTGGATCTGACACTGCCGTTCAGGAACCGTCCGTTTTCCCACAAAATACTGCCAGCAGAGGATCGGTGGCGCCCAGAGAACGAACGACACGAGCCAAGCTAACCCGATCATGATGGCCGCTCGCTTCGGCGTGCGCTTGGCTCGATACGTCAGCGGTCTGGTTATGGAGAAGTAGCGATCGAAGCTTATAACCAGTAGGTTCATCACAGAGGCGTTACTAGCCACATAATCCAACGCTAGCCATAAATCACAGGCTAGGCTTCCGAGAGCCCAGTAGCCCATGAGGATATATGAGGTGTACAGGTTCATGGAGAACACGCCGATGATGAGGTCCGCAAAGGCTAGGCTAAGCAGGTAATAGTTGTTGACCGTCTTCAACTGGCTGTTCACCTTGAAGGACAGCATCACCAGAACGTTCCCGATGATGGTCACGAGGCTCACCACGGCGGAGACGCTAGCGATCGCCACCACTTCCCATAGACTGTGTGTGAACAGGACATCTGAGGCGTTAGCGCTGATGTTCATGATGATCGCAGCGGCTCGGTTCTCCATTCACACGTGGTTCGGCACGTCCATCTCCTGCACAAACACAGACCGAACAGGGAGATGAGAAACTCGCTCCTTTATTAGCTCTGGACCCAGACAGTAACTTAGTGTCGGCCCATATCCGGTGCGCGCTGAATCCACATGTTCCAGATGTGGGCCGGATCTGGGCCGACACTATGTTGCCGTCTGGGGATGTTTAATACAAGGCTATTATCGTTAACTAAAAATAAAATAAAATATCACATAAAACAACTGAAACTAAACAAAAATTTGAATGTCGTACTAAAATGTCTAACTGGATATAAATAAAAACCAAAACTGAAATAAAAATAAAACAAACCCAAATAGTAATGTTTTTGTTAATTGAAATGCAGCTGAAATAAAATATAAATATTGGATAAAAAACAAAGTGAATTTGGAATGTTGCATGGCAATAAATTGAAATATGTTCAAGTTTAAGCACTAAAATATCTAGCTCAAAATAAAAATCAAAATGAAATAAAAATAAAATCAAAATAAATAGAATATACATTTAGTCTAGGGTTTATCATTATCAAGAAATATATATACATTTTTGTTAAGAGAAATACAGTGAAGACGAGTCAGAGGCAATACAGTTCAAATAAAATATAAACATTATATAGGCTATATAAAAAAACTAAATGAAATGATTTTTTAAAATCAACTTTAAAAATCTGTGCATTTTAATCCATGTTATTATCGTCAACTGAAACTGAAAGCATAAAAAACTGTGTTAATTTAAATAAAGCTGAAACAAATCAAGTAAGATAACATTTAAGTAAAATAACTAAGTAAATTAGTTTAAATTAAATTAATTTAAATTAGTTAAATTTTCTTAAAAGTTAAGTAAAAATAAATTAGAAATGTTGCACTAAAATATCTAACTGGAAATAAATTAAAAACTAAAACTGAAACTGAAAAAGGAATAAAATCAACCTAAATAGTCTGTGCCTTTAATCCAGGGTTATTATCCTTTACCAAAACTATATATATATATATATATATAAACATTTCTAGTAATGGAAATAAAGCTGAAATAAAATCAAATACAAGATGGAAAAATTGAAAGCACTAAAATGTCTCTGACTGTAAATAAATAAATAAATAAAAACAAAAAAGTCAAAATCCCATAAAAATACAAAGCTTGATGTCTAATTCTCTAAAGTGCTCGAATCAACATTAAATACGTTTATTACAGTATTTGACAATTCATAACATGTAATTTATAGTTCATCAGAATATCATCATAATGATCCAATAAAATAGATGATGAGAGCTTCTAAGATTAAACGTCAAGCTAATAAACTTAATGCCATTTAGAGTCATTATCATTCCATAGAAATCCCATTTGAAACAAGCATATCTAATGTCGTATGGTTCATTGATCATCATCACCGATGGTGTGTGTGTGTGTGTGTGCGTGTGTGTGCCTGTGTGTTTGTCTGTGATGCGCCTCTAGAGGGCACTTCCTAATAAAACCTGAGACCTGATGCCTGAAGTGACTGAAGACTAGCCTAGAAATCTAGACGCATCCTAGCGGCAGCAAAAGGTATTTGTGTGGTCTAACTCTCCATAGACGTTTTAGCTGGAAAAACCAAACTCTGGTCAGGCCAATCACATCGTGTATAGAGTTGTCAGGCGGGCTTAACATAATGGCGACAGAGTTGCGAAAACTGGCGAACATCTGTCTTTGATCGCGACTCTGGATGATTTGAACTTAAGCTTTTCTTTGAAAACAGAACAAAGAACAGCACTCGAGTCATTAAAAAAAAAAAAGTTGTGTTTGGAGTTTTGCCGACTGGAAACGGTAAAATTTTAATATAGCCAATCAACTTGCTCCGCTGGTGGGAAAACACGTAGGACTCAGCCGTCACCTTCTTCATTGCTCTGAAAGTTACAGAATTTTACGTGTATTGTTATGAAAAATGCACACTCAAAAAAAAAAAAAAATACTATTCAACTGTTTTACTTTAAAACTGCAGGAAAACAAAATCCATAAGTGTTCCACATGTGATTCTGATCTCAGTAAAGGAGATCGGCTCAAACGCGTTTCTGAGCACAAGCGGGAAATTCTCACAGCAGCATAATATCTCCGCGAATACTCCACCAAAAATGACGAAACGCATATGGTTTTGTTCAGTTCGGCGAGACGGTTCGAAGGAGCCGGTCTCCGCCGGATACGTTCAGTTTTCGTTGACATAGCCTATTTGCGTTTTTTGCTTCCAGAGGGGCTTTAGGGGCCTGTATCTCGATAAAAAATTGGCGTCGAAACGTTGATTTTTCGCCGAGATATTCGCGATTTTCTCCCGAGCTCGTGGCGCCATTTCAGAGCGCGGCCGACGGTTTTACGGCTAACGCCGCCTTCACACTGGCAGTTGAAATCAGCTCCGTAATACGCAATACGTTCCCAACGGACGTCGTACTACACAGTGAAAAGCGTCGGACGCGGGTAGAACAAAAATGGCGGAGAGATTAAAGTTTGATTCTGTCAGTTCTGTATGATCTCTCTGATTAAGGTTATGCTGCGTGAGGAAAGTTGCTCAGGACGTTGACATGTCAGGTCGGCTAAAAAATGTGATATAGTGGTCAATAGTTCAATATCTACCTTCAATTTAATTCTATTAACTGCCCTTATAAACGTTAGAAAGTCATGAAAATAAAAAATGACATCACAACTTATCGTTATAAAATCAATATTTATTTTATTAAAAGTTAATAATTCAGGTTTGTTTATCATTACCATAGCAACGGTCAACTTCCGCTGGAATTGTCGGATAGGAACCGTCTGTAGCTTTTCGCAAGAGTTCGAATTTTTGAACGCATCCGGATGACCAATGGACACGATTTTCTTCGCACCGCACTCAGTCGGACCCGTTTCGGACCCATTCGCATGCGGTCTGCGAATCTCCATAGGAAATGAATGACTTCCGGTCGTTTCGCAGCCGCATCGGAGCTGATTTCAACTGCCAGTGTGAAGGCGGCGTAACGGAAAAATAGACCAGACGACCAGGGTGTGTGTGTGTGTGTGTGTGTTTACACAGCAAGTGCAAAAGTTCAGATGAAGAACTTTTTTTTTAACGTATATGTTTCAGTCACAAATGCCACTAAAGTGACTCAGTTAAACATCATCTGTACTGTACATGTACAGCAGGAGCACATGCTCGGGTGAGGCGCGCGCACGTGAACAGGCACACGGATGATGTATCCGTGGCTTTTTGTTTCCAGGGAAACAGCCGAGTGATTTCTTCTGAATGATAAAGCCAACATCATCCAAGGCCGAGTGAAACGCTGAGGACAAACCAAACAAACACTTGAGGACCTTCTGGATGAGTTTAACGTGACGCACGCTGATCCTCAAACACATGCGACGGGAGCGCGTGCATGGAAAAAGCAAAATCCACAGGATTAATAACCACTTGCTTTGAACTGACGCGATTCGCTAATAAAACACTTCCTCAGTGTTTCACATGTTTTCCAGCACAAATATCTGGACATTTTTAAAATCAAGGTACATTTACTGGAGAAGGAAGATCTCAGCCAAAAAAAAAAAAAAAAAAACATTAGCTAACTTTAAACCATAAAAAGAGTGTTCTGAACGTCCAAAACATTCAGTTTTCTCATGTTTTTTCTTATGTGAACGATTTTATCATTCTTCAAACATTATGAACGTTACTTTTCAAAGTTTTGAATCAGGTTACATTGTAAAAGTGTCCAACGTTTCAGATAAAAAACATTCCGAATGATGTATAAATAATGTTTCAGTGCTAATTTGTAGAGAACATTATTGAAGACTTTGGAGGAACGTTCTACAGTAACGTTATTGGAAGAACGTTTAATCATAACTTTGAGACAATCTTGACTGCTTGCTGATGACGTAAGATAGTACGTTTCTGAGTTTATTCGGAGTTTAAAGGGGCTTTATGCAAGAATTTTCCTGAATTCATTTCTTTTTTATTGTGCTTGTAACGAGACTGATGTTTATGTGAAGAACTCGTTCTGGTTTTGCAGATGCTTCACTCCTGAGAGTGATCGCACACGAAACTAATGCTTATACAATGTTCAACGTCAAACTATAGTCTCACTAATCAGATCTATATATCCACTTTATAATCAGACGTTCATTACAGTGTGATTTGATGTGGACGTGATGCCGGTGAATCTCAGATCTGCTGCAAACATCCACATCCCTAAGATCAGATGCTTTCTGTGTTATTGAGAGGGAAGTGCAGCATATATGACATATTCATCCAATCTCAGACAGATATTCAGAGATTACTTTGAGATGTTTGATAGCAAGTGGATAATGGCTCGGCGCTCACACAGACGATGACTCTCGACTCTGTCATTATGTTGTTGACATCATCCCTGCAGGAAACACACACTGAATCACTGTATTACTCAGTCCTAAATGATCAAAAAAGAAGAATGATGGTCAATGTCATTGATTTCAGCCTCTAAAAATCACCAAAACACACCAGCTGACATGAAGAAGAACAGATCCTGCCGCCGGATTTGATTTTTGATTTTCTAATCTAAGTGATAAAAGCAGAAAGATGTGTTATGCGGATATTTGTCCGTGTCTCTGTTGTGAAGGCGGCATGAGGTGGGCAGATTTCTGAGGAAGCAGATGAATAAATGATGACTGTATATCGGAGGATGATCTGATCTTACTGCCGCTCACAAACACGCACATCCTGAAAATATAACTTTTACATTGAGCATTAAACTCACAGGTGGATTAGACAAAAGATTAACTAATAGATCGAGGACATTAAGAATTGCAAACATTTTTTGTGATTAAATACAAGAATTAAATTTGTAATTCTTCTAATTAAATATGAACTGAATTGATTCTATTTATAATCAGGTGATTCACCCAAATAAATCATTATGTTGTCTTGAAATAGCCGGCTATCCCAGCTCATTCCAATTAGTAGTCCGCTTCATGCTCATACAACCAGAAACAAACATCTCATCATTGGTAAAACTAGAAGACTCAAAAGTGCAAATTTGAGCATTACAAGTAGAGGCCCAATGATTTAAAATGAGCTTGATACCTGAGGCTGAAGCTGACCTGTATCCATCTTTAAGAAAACACTAAAAAAGGAACTTTTACGTTTATATCTAGAACCTTGTCAGTAGTTTACAGTTGATTTTAAAGCATTGTCCTGATTCACTTTTGTTGTGTCTTATGTTGTATTGTGTATTTTTGTATGAAATTTTGGTTATGTTATTGGTGTTTAGTTAAGTTTTGTATGTAATGTATTACTTTAATATGTATTAGGCTCCCTTCTATAAGCTTTGGATAGCTTCTTTGGGAGACCTGATTCACACATATCTACATGTGCTAATTGGTCTGTGTCATCGGACTTGAATTTATGTGTGGGTAAATAAAAAAAAATAATAATAATGAAAATAAAAAAAATTGCAAAGTCCAGTTTAATAAAGGGTTATTGATTATCATGAGCGAACAGTGTCAGAACTCAAAACTTCCTTCCAAAACCAAACTGAACTTCAACTAACTAATCTTAACAAGAACAAACTATGTACGAAAGTGATTAAGAAAGAAAGAAATGGTGACTTTTTGGTCAACCCCAAAAAAAAAAAAAAAAACCCCAATATGAATATTGTATGATATGACCCCACCACGGAATAAAAAAGTAATTGCAATTTTTAATCCCACTATTTTTTTCCCTCTAAATTGCAAGTTTATAACCTGCAATTCTGAATTTATATATCGCAAATCTGCCTTTTTCTATATCTCACAATTTTGTTTTCTGAATTTATATTAGTTTATATTATTTGCGAGTTTATATCTTGCATTTCTGACTTTTTTTCTCTGTGCAAATTGCAAGAAAAAGAATCAGATTTGCGATAAAACGTGCATTCCTTCTATTTTTTTATTTTGTGTAGGGAACCAGCGTCCGCATTAACCCTGCTGTGAACCATGACCCCTGACTGTGATGAAAGTGCAGCGTTCAGTCCATCTGCTAATGACCTCTGAGACTCTCCGTCCTCCTCACACTGTGTTTCCCGTCTCACGTCACATTCCAGCGAGCCTCAGCTGTGTGTGTGTGTGTGTGTGTGTGTGTGTGTGGGGTGATCTGACCCGTGTCTAATGTCCCTGCAGTTCTGCTGCGACTGACAAACTTCCTCCAGCGGTGAGTGTGTGTGTGTGTGTGTGTGTGTGTGTTCGAGTCTCAGGTGAAGCTGCAGACGCATCAGACTGCAGAGAATCCTGCAACCCATTTATCATTCAGTTCATTTATGTGCAACACACTGCAAAAAAAATAGAGAAATCTGCAGTATTTTCTGTTGTTTTCTAGTTCGATACAGTGGGTGTGGCATCAGGCCTCAGACAGAAATAAAACAGAATAATGTCCAAAAGTGGTATCATATGTTTTCAAATGATCAGGGGATCTAGAGTCCTCGTCGTGAAGGAAGGACCAGACGGGTCCAGGTCCGAGACTTCATCTATCCAGCGCTTTAACACTATAGAGATCACAGCAGCTTTACAGAGAGAACAGGAGATTACAGTCACAGAGAGTGTTCTGGCTTCACAGCAGATCTAGAATAAAGTTAATGTCCACACTCTAAAAATGCTGGGTTGTTTTAACCCAAATGTTGGGTTAAAAATGTAATTAAAAAATGTAACCCAATGGCTGGGTTTGTCCATATTTGACCCAAAGTTGTGTTAAAACAACCCAGCAATTTTTAGAGTGCAGATAAAGTTAGTTTTTGATTGATTAATGTCCGTTGTAAAGATCATTAGTTATTAACACGGCACCGTTGAAAAGTTTGAATGTGTTCTGGACGGTGCACATGTCTATATTACGTGTTTAGTCTATCGATACGCTGCTCAGTGTGGGAATCCTCCATGCTGCTCTTCCTGGACCCTCGAGGAAAAGAGACCGGTCTAATTTAAGTATTCAGCGGCTGTGACGAGGGTTCATTAGATTCAGATGTGCCTCATCACACACCACCAGTCCTGGGTGTCTGGAAACTGGTGAAGGGTGGCGATTTAAAGTTCACCCAACGATGAGGTTCATTCTCGTGTTACGCAGCACGTTTGAGCTTCAGCAAGAACCAATGAGGTTTTTTTTAATCTCCTGTTACGCAGGTTGTGAATAAAAGCCTAAATTAAATCTATTCATTATATAAAGCAACCACTCATGGATTACTTTTACAATCTAATTAATGAACTTTTTGAAGCTTCAAAGTTGTAGTTGAGTAGCTGTCAGTGGAGGGACAGAAATCTCTCAGATTTTGTCAAAAAGATCTTAATTTGTGTTCTGAAGATGAACAAAAGTCTATCCGGGTGAGTCATTAATGACAGAATTTTAATTTTTGGGTGAACTATCCCTTTAATGTAGTAAGGGTGAGGCAGTTGAAATATATAAACATTCTTCAAGACATCGAAACATTCCTGCAAAATGACGTATTAATAAGTCTTGTTTATTACCAGTGGCAGATATTTGTTCTTGTTTTAAGCAAAACTCACTTCATTTTGATCAATTTCTCTTCTTTTCTCAAGTCACGTTGCTTCTCCAGTAAATGCATCTTGATTTAAGAATGTTTTGATATTTGTGCTGGAAAACAAGACGAAAATCCTGAGGAACAACATCCTTTTTTTCTTCAGTGAGTTAGTCAATATGTCTGATTTGACTGTGTTTCGCAGCGTCTCGGGTCAGAACGGCGTTTGGGCTCATTTTAGTTCTCTGCAGGACTCGTTAAAATCATGGCTGACCGCCTCTAATCTGTGTCGTGTTGGTGTGATTAATTCTGATGAGAGACGGATAGAAACAGTGACCTCAATCAGGTGTCAGCACTGCTTCTGCTCTACATGATGACTGTTTTAAAGCATTTGTAGTGTGAATGAAATTCAGGATCACAATCCTGTTCAACAGACGCCTGCTTCACTTGTGCTTTATGGTGATTTGGTGTCAGCAAACACACTTATGAAGTCACTAAAGTTCTCAAAAATCCAAACAATGCTTCGGATTCTCTTTTATAAAATATTCTTGAGAGCACTAGCCCCAGTACGAGTCTGAAACTGTACTTACAGAAAGCAGACGTCCCAGCAGCGGCTTCATGAAGACACCGGGACACAAGTCCTGCGGTACACATGGTGAACGGCTCCAGTTTTACTCCTCCAGCGCTTATAAATCCACTGTGAGCGAAATCTTCCATCCAAACATGCAGAGAAACACATCAGAGTTACTCCAGCGTGTCACAGGCAGACCGAAGAGATGAAGAGAGAGAACCCTGAGAGCAGCAGCAGAAGTGATGAGAGAGAGAGAGCTGTGACTCCTCACCGACGACACATACGCAACTCACACACACAGAGAGAGAGAGAGAGAGTGACCACAGATGACTGAACGCTGATAGAGTCATGTGAAGACTGGAGAAAGTCAGGAAGAAACAAGAAGCTGTGAGAGAAACAGGAGCAGCGAGAGGGCGAGCGGGCGCTCATAAGCTGGTTAATTGCCCGATGGCAAGCAGTTTTAGCTTCAAATCTTCCCAGCATTATTTATCACAATTGTTTCTTACCAGTAAAATTTCATTTGGATAGTTTTTAATTGGGATTCTTTATAGTAAAAATTCATTTGGAGAGCTCTCTAATTGGAGTGCTTACTTGTAAAATTTAATTTGAAAGCTTTCTAATTGGGATTCTTACCAGTAAAATTCATTTGGATAGATTTTTTAATTGGGATTCTGTAAAATATCATTCGGGGAGCTCTCTACTTGGGATACTTACCAGTAAAATTCATTTCTAATTGGGATTCTTACCAGTAAAATTCATTTCTAATTGGGATTCTTACCAGTAAAATTCATTTCTAATTGGGATTCTTAACAGTAAAATTCATTTCTAATTGGGATTCTTTCCAGTAAAAAATATATTCGGAGAGCTCTCTAATTGTATTCTTAACAGTAAAAATTCATTTCTAACTGGGTTTCTTACCAGTTAAAATTCATTTGGAGAGCTCCCTAATTGGAATTCTTACTTGTAAAATTTAATTTGAAAGCTTTATAATTGGGATTCTTACCAGTAAAAATTCATTTGGATAGTTTTTTAATTGGGATTCTTTATAGTAAAATTTCATTCGAAGAGCTCTCTAATTGGGATACTTACCAGTAAAATTCATTTCTAATTGGGATTCTTACCAGTAAAATTCATTTCTAAGTGGGATTCTTACCAGTAAAATTCATTTCTAATTGGGATTCTTAACAGTAAAATTCATTTCTAATTGGGATTCTTTCCAGTAAAAAATATATTCGGAGAGCTCTCTAATTGTATTCTTAACAGTAAAAATTCATTTCTAACTGGGTTTCTTACCAGTTAAAATTCATTTGGAGAGCTCCCTAATTGGAATTCTTACTTGTAAAATTTAATTTGAAAGCTTTATAATTGGGATTCTTACCAGTAAAAATTCATTTGGATAGTTTTTTAATTGGGATTCTTTATAGTAAAATTTCATTCGAAGAGCTCTCTAATTGGGATACTTACCAGTAAAATTCATTTCTAATTGGGATTCTTACCAGTAAAATTCATTTCTAAGTGGGATTCTTACCAGTAAAATTCATTTCTAATTGGGATTCTTAACAGTAAAATTCATTTCTAATTGGGATTCTTTCCAGTAAAAAATATATTCGGAGAGCTCTCTAATTGTATTCTTAACAGTAAAAATTCATTTCTAACTGGGTTTCTTACCAGTTAAAATTCATTTGGAGAGCTCCCTAATTGGAATTCTTACTTGTAAAATTTAATTTGAAAGCTTTATAATTGGGATTCTTACCAGTAAAAATTCATTTGGATAGTTTTTTAATTGGGATTCTTTATAGTAAAATTTCATTCGAAGAGCTCTCTAATTGGGATACTTACCAGTAAAATTCATTTCTAATTGGGATTCTTACCAGTAAAATTCATTTCTAAGTGGGATTCTTACCAGTAAAAAATGTATTCGGAGAGCTCTCTAATTGTATTCTTAACAGTAAAAATTCATTTCTAACTGGGTTTCTTACCAGTAAAAATTAATTTTGAGAGCTTTCTAATTGGGATTCTTTCTAATGAAAATTAAATTTGGATAGCTCTCTAATTGGGATTCTTTAGAGCAAAAATTTCATTTGGAGAGCTCTCTAATTAGAATTCTTACTTGTAAAATTTAATTTGAAAGCTTTATAATTGGGATTCTTACCAGTAAAAATTCATTTGGATAGTTTTTTAATTGGGATTCTTTATAGAAAAATTTCATTCGAAGAGCTCTCTAATTGATACTTACCAGTAAAATTCATTTCTAATTGGGATACTTACCAGTAAAAGTCATTTCTAATTGGAATTCTTACCAGTAAAATTCATTTCTAATTGGGATTCTTACCAGTAAAATTCATTTCTAATTGGGATTCTTTCCAGTAAAAAAAGTATTCGGAGAGCTCTCTAATTGTATTCTTAACAGTAAAAATTCATTTCTAACTGGGTTTCTTACCAGTAAAAATTCATTTTGAGAGCTTTCTAATTGGGATTCTTACTAATGAAAATTAAATTTGGAGAGCTCTCTAATTGGGATTATTACTAGTAAAGTTTAATTTGGATAGCTCTCTAATTTTAATTCTTACTAGTAAAATTTCATCTGGAGAGCTCTCTACTTGGAATTATATAACACTGGTAACACTGGAATTAAGTGACACTGTAAGATTTTAAGGTAAAGCGGCTTGCCATGCCGTGTTGAGCTTGAGCTTTTGTCCTGAGCTGCAGACGTGTGCTGAGATAAAGACGGCATGTGTTTGAGCTTCATCACGGCCGTGTCATCGGCTCATTGTCTTCCTCACGCTGTGTGTGCACAGATAAGAGATGCACAGATTCACTCATAAACACACAACACAACAATACAAGAACTAACACCAGGAACGATTCACTTCTGTGCTCATTAACTCCGTCGTGGCAGGAGAGATGACACCAACACTCAGATTCAGCTTTATATCCATCATGGGCATAGAAAACAAAAACACTACAAAAAGATACGTAAAGTTTAACCTCAGTTAAATATTTAATATCATCCGAGTTGTTTTTGGCATTAATAAAGGCATTTTAATTTAAATTAAAATTCAGATTTATTGATTTTATAAAACATTTTAAGTTCCAAACATTATTTTTGATGAGTTCTAACTACATAATAATATTGATTATTGCATCAACTTAATATTGTGTGTAATTTAAACTGTTCAATGATTTTTCTAATTAATTTGAAGGAAATTCTCTTGATATCTTTGAAAATTGGGCCACGAAAACCAATACACACTTCCACACCAAATGAGAATATTACGATCGACCAGGTCAAAAGCAGAGCTAAGATCTGGCAAGACCAAAGCCACATGGTACAAAACACACAAACAGTGTTTAAGCTGATATTTTTTTCCATTGATGTAATTTGACTCATTTTGAACATGTAGATGAACTCATGAGACATTAGAGCCACTAAAATTCGTCATTATCATTTTCACACTCATTATTCTTTACACTCATTACTTGAATAATAATTAGAGATCTCATTACACACAACTGACACTGGCAAGTCCTGACAAGATCTTTAATACTCTCTCTCTCACACACACACACACACAATCCTGCAGCCGAATTATTCCTAAACTCACGAGTGACAACAGAACCAAACTCTCAGCATTATTTCCATGTCTTTCTGAATAATGTTTTGACATCATGTCTGAGTCTGTCGCTGACGCTGCTGGATGATCAGTGTTTGACTGAAGCGTCAGACGATCCTGAGCTGAAGTGTGTTTGACTGAAGCGTCAGCAGAGCGGCTGAAATACGTCCCATCTGCCCTTCAGACAGATCGAGTTCCTGATCGCGGAGATACGCATGCCCTGGATATCCATGTGTCACAATACCACGAAAAAACCAAGACCAAGAACCAGAACCAGAAACCAAGGATCAAGTATCATGAATAGTTGTAAGACTCTGGATTGAGTGTCTGGACGTCTGAATGAGCTTCAACCTCAGCAGGACACACACACTAGTGATTAAATATTCATCACACCGCTTGAATAAACCTCAGCGTGTTCCGAACAAAAATGCTCTGAGAACGTTTTTGTCATAAATTATGACTGAATGTTCATTTTTCAGTGAACAATTCCTTGAAAAAGATTAAAAATAACCCATAGTTTACTGTCCCTCAGGTGTAAATGACTTTCTTCGTTCACACCAACACAATCTGTGTTATATTAAAAAATATCCTGGCTCTTCCCAGCTTTATAATGGCAGTGAAAGGAGGAGATTTTGAAGCACTTTTATGATGGACAGATGCACTTTTATGATGGACAGACGCACTTTTATGATGGACAGATGCACTTTTATGATGGACAGATGCACTTTTATGATGGACAGATGCACTTTTATGATGGACAGATGCACTTTTATGATGGACAGATGCACTTTTATGATGGACGGATGCACTTTTATGATGGATAGATGCACTTTTATGATGGACAGATGCACTTTTATGATGGACAGATGCACTTTTATGATGGATAGATGCACTTTTATGATGGACGGATGCACTTTTATGATGGATAGATGCACTTTTATGATGGACAGATGCGCTTTTATGATGGATAGATGCACTTTTATGATGGACAGATGCACTTTTATGATGGACAGATGCACTTTTATGATGGACAGATGCACTTTTATGATGGACAGATGCACTTTTATGATGGACAGATGCACTTTTATGATGGACAGATGCACTTTTATGATGGACAGATGCACTTTTATGATGGACGGATGCACTTTTATGATGGATAGATGCACTTTTATGATGGACAGATGCACTTTTATGATGGACAGATGCACTTTTATGATGGATAGATGCACTTTTATGATGGACGGATGCACTTTTATGATGGATAGATGCACTTTTATGATGGACAGATGCGCTTTTATGATGGATAGATGCACTTTTATGATGGACAGATGCACTTTTATGATGGACAGATGCACTTTTATGATGGACAGATGCACTTTTATGATGGACAGATGCACTTTTATGATGGGCAGATGCACTTTTATGATGGACAGATGCACTTTTATGATGGACAGATGCACTTTTATGATGGACAGATGCACTTTTATGATGGACGGATGCACTTTTATGATGGACGGATGCACTTTTATGATGGACAGATGCACTTTTATGATGGGCAGATGCACTTTTATGATGGACAGATGCACTTTTATGATG